AGATATTGTTCGATAATTTATTCATCAATAAGTAATATACCATATTTCTTTGAATATACGCCGCGCTTTGAAGGAACGCCTCCCTCGAATAAATGCCATGAAGCATTGATTTTTTTCTCTCAAATAAAAGCTTCGAATAAAGCAACATCATTCTCAACAAATTCTATTAACGCTCTACTCCAGTAGAATAACATTTGTTCTAACCGGGATCAACAAGTCTTTATGACTATGCAACAACAAACTAACATTAAATGAGCAAATTTACAGTAGTGCTTTAATGTAATTCATGCCAGCAATTTGGCATTAGCCATCAAAGAGCTTGGTTTCCATACAATTGCTACATGCTGCCTGCCAGCTTTGGTGATGCTGATTGGTTGGTCAAATTGGGGAGCCTTCCCGATTGCATCAGGGACTGCTACACAGTATGATTGCACTGAAATGCTGTAGCAAGTGTAGCAACAGTGTAGCGATTTCAAGAAAACCAGGCTTTCATACGGGGTGGGCTTGAAAATGGGTTGGAGGGCCAAAATGAATTTTTGATTTAACACCGAGGGACACACCTAAACTTTTGTTTCCAGTTGGTTCCAAAAACCTTCATGTACTGCCTTTATATCACTTTATGCTTAGTTTCAACATTGCTGTTTACAGACGATCAGTCGGGCTACTAAGCACAAAATCTTTTCTAGCCAAAGATGGTTGGCGGGCTGAGCACATAGGGTTTTTAATTCATTGTTGAGGACCGCAAAAAAAAAAAAAAAAAAAAAAAAAAAAAATCACTGTCGTACCGCCTTAGGCCTGAACTTTGCCCACCAGTGCTGTAATATGTTATGACTTTTTTGTGTCAAAGGTTCAAATCTAATGATAGGGACATTGGTTCACATGATGGACTGTGCGATCATTTATTGAAATATATATTGAGAAATACTCCTCAGGTCAGGGAAGGTTGCAAATGTCATTATAAATTGGTGAGTTTACTGATGTGTATAATATTGACCAGCCATGTTAATATAAACATTGTCTACTGAATAGATGTTGTACACTTTTCAATCACAAGTAATGAGACAAGGAACACAGGAGAAAATTTTCATCAGATCTATTGGAATACTATAGCATCACAGTGATCTGAACAACGAATGAGAAATATTCCATTTAAATTACACAAGGTATGTACAGAGTTAACAACACATGGCGAACAACAAAGTTTTTAGTGCTACCCTTTCCAAGACAGACATTCCCTTGACTCCTAAACCAACTGCATCGCAATCAGTTGAGTGACATTCAGCCTAGCACGCAACACTTCACCCCCATGTGCTTGCAAACACGCCAGCACAGATGCTACACCTTGCCAACCAACACGCCTTCATTTACAAGTAAAAGGGGTTAGCAATATACAGGTTTCACTTGCAATTTCAGTGCACATTGCTAGATAATTAGGATGATCCCAATATTAAATGTCCGCTACCAGCCCTCCCATCGTTTTCATTCACCAAATTCAAATAAAAAGCCAATAATATGGAACTGGCCCGAGACAGGATACAAAACAACTATATGCATTACTATTGCCATCATACTATTTTGTTAAAATGTAAATAAAATAATGACAACTGGGGAATTCACATGACAACTGCTACACAGTTTAAAATGCTTGAAACTAAGAAGCATCTCAGAAGCATGAAAACTCTCAGATACAACACCATACAATCAATACATATAATAATGTTTTAAAGTAACAATATAGACAAATTGGTCAAAAACACTTTCGCAACAATAATTTACAAATAGCAATGTGAAAAAAAACCCCAATAAATTAGAAATGTTAACTCTATACAATTAATCTAACAGGAGCACCCACAAACTGGCGAAGTAAGCGACGCAGAGGTAGCTGTCTTATACAAGCTACAGATGCGGTATTTAGCCGTTAAAGTGCCAACGTTTCCAAGGTTTTTTTTTTTATTATACTCTAAAGCGGAAATCTGCTACCACCACTACAATCGCTTACAACAGCCAGTAAGTAGCACCTAGAATCTTCTTTAAAATTTTCAAATAAAATTTTTACCAATTTCAAAAACAAATGTATACGTAGAAAAAGATCTAATGAGATAGTTTACACCATAATAGGATTGTAACATATGAGACAATTTGGTTCCAGTAACGAAAAACCAACACTTGTCTAAATTCACTTCTATAAGTCAGCTTCAATTTTTATTTGGAAATCATTCATTATCGATTAAAATTAGAATAAATGAATGTGCATCAAAATTGAAGGAAACGGCTGGTTTGTACATGCTATAGATGGTATGCTTTAATACCCAGATTCATATACAAGTAAATGACTGGTTGTGGAGGTATGTGTACATACTCTGCATTGCAATGCAACTGGCTCTCAGATCATGTGATTTGTGAACAGCCTGCATTGCAATGCATAACACCAGCTGCCACACTGCACTGTGAAATAAGGTTCTAGAAAAACCCTACAATGTAGTCATCGAATAACAAAACAGATCAATAACTATATAAATTGCAGTGTCAATGTTATCCTATGGGGAATGCTGATCTGTCCATGCTACCTAATGCATTCTCTATATAACACAGGATTCGACCCATGTTCATCCTAAATCTCATTGAAAAAATCAACTGTCCAATACAGTACAGCTTACAAACTGTAGTAACATGTACATTGGTATAACATTACAATGAAAATAACAAGCAAGCATTTTGAATAAGCTACCAGTGCACAAAAGTGAGCTACCTTCATCTAAGCTGACCAGGTGGGTGAGTGCCATCGTGACACCAGATTTGATTCAAGGTGGATCAATATGCCTTCAAAAAACAGCACAAAACCTAATATTCAATCACGTATTGCTCATAATGTGGACATCACTGTGTCCTACCAGTCGCATTCATTCTAATTTATACCTGTTCACGACTCCTTAATACGAGGGACTATTCTCAAATTATATCCAAGGCAAGTCCATTTATTTCTGTCCATATCACAGTTAAAATTCTGATTCGTTAAAACCAGTAAAATTCATTAAAGAATGTATTGTTTACAGTCTAACAGGTACAAAGTAGCAGCACCTTAAAATATGACCATCAACAAGCTAAATAAGTCAAATTCCTTATATCTGATTAAAATTGCAAAGAAATGGTAACAAAATAGAAAAAATGCAATACAAGTAAAATACCTGTTTAGTGGACTGCTAACTGTCTGGTCTCACTTGATGTCTTAGATAAATAGTAGATAATTTGAAATTCTAGGAATCTATCAAAAGTCCAACTTAAGTGTTAGTACAATACCACTTCTTCTAGTTTTCAATTTCATTGAATGTTTTCCACAACAAAGGAATCTTACTTGTAAAATCTTGATTCTGCTTGTACCAGCTATTGAATACATCTACTTAGGTGGCATTAAATACACCCCCAATTAAAATTTAATATCAGTTTCAATTAATCCAAGCAATAGAAACCCCTATATTTATGTATATAAATACACACATGTATACATACGCACACACACACACACCTCTTTCCACACTCACACACACAAACACACATTAAATTTCATGGGTATTGCCATAAATTGAGTATACATCAGTTGGATCCCTACCAGGTATGATATTCTTCCAGGATTTAAACCAGGAGGAATATCATAGCATGTCCAAACTCCTACGATGGATCGTTACTCCCCCATTGAATCCCAGTCCCTTGATAGCTTTTATGATACCAGAGAGCAGGAAATAGAACGAATACATGAAGAAAATTGCAATCTACACTCACAGAATGTAGACAAGAGCTTCCCAGCCTGAATTGTTTATACTTCTGAGTGCTACTAGGTGGTTTGTATGGCAGATTTAGCATAAAGGAATTTGGTAGCCTAGGCCATTGTTGTAAAACAACAAAAAAAGATATGCTCATTTGGTGTTCAAAGATCACAGGAGTGGGTATTCTATGGAGGAGTTGTATTATAAACAAACAAAACTTTTATGTTCAAAGTGCAATGCTGAAAAAAAGATCACCAATGGCCGCCTGTCACATTTTAGCCTCACCTTCCAGTAAAATGGAACAGTCCACCATTCAGTGTGAACAATATTTCAACAGTTTATAATCTATAATTGTGTGCAAACGTGCTGGGTGTGTGCATATATAGCTGCATATGTATATATACATCTATACATACATATAGCTAGGTCACGCCATACAGTATAATTATTAAAATTTCATGTAAAATTGCAAATAAAATAATCATGAAGTCTTGATGGCATGTTTGCATCCAAATTAATTTCCAATTTGGTCCATTGCGAGTTCATCAAGTAAAACTGTCCGAAATACATATTTGTCTAAAAACACGATTCATTAATACATGGTGGGTTATTCAAATCAGTGAGAATAAGATGTACGGCACACGATCAACGGATTCACTGTCCATATACGTGCTCAAATGATCGTGCCTTTAAAATTGTTGCTCGTCAAAGAGTTTGTCTGCTTAAAAGTCATCTAGCAGCTGGTCGTAGCCAACTAGAACAGTCTAAGTTCCACAACAGTCAGGTACGTTCACGTCCACAAAACAGACCACCAAACTTACAATATAAATTAACCAGACACAAGTCTATATTGCTTGCACCATTGATTACACAATTTCTACATAGGATTCTACACAATGTGTTTTCAATATAAAATCAGTATAGATATTGGTACTTACAGTATGTAAGACACTAGCATTAACCCTTAACATGATTTTATTAATAACTCAATAATATAATGACATATGCTACTAGTTTACCTTATACTCAATTGCCCAAATTAATCTTTAACATTATTTTACTTGTTTTGTTAATAAAATACACACACAAAAAGAAAAAGAAAACAGGATCTACTTGTTAAAGCAGTTGAAACGATGTTATGGTTTTTTTTTTTCAATAACACACCAGTTTCAACAGCGCTGTAGTGAAGTACGGTCTCTCTAGAACAAGAGGTCAAAATGAGATTGTACGTATGTACTTTTTGTTGGCCGTATAAAAACCAATACAGTTAACTACCAGCAAAACTCACATTCCAACAAAACCAACTTTCGGTCACAAACCGCATCACTACCATAAGTTACACTGAATGGTTCTAAATTTGAAGACATACGGTATTGAAATTAAGGCAAATGCCTTCTACACTTCGCAATCTCATAAATTGGCAGGTTGTGCATGATTGAGATAGGCTGTAACAACACTGGAACTATGGTTGACTTTCGTCTCAAATGTATGGCAAACTAGTCACATTACATGCTTACATACTGTTCTTCAAAAACTTACAAAATTGCTTGTGTACATGAAGCAGTCAAATTCCTTGCTGCTTTTAACTTCCACTTCATTCAGTCACCAATTGGGAAAAACATGCAGGAATTTGGTGTTGGCCTTGGCCAGCAAGTTGACTGCAGCTGACAGTATCAGTATCAATAAAGACTGCATCTGCTTCACATCCCAGTGATACGTCATATCTGGAACCCAGAAATCATGTACACAAAAAAAACGTCTACTAACAGCACTTGAATGTCAGGAGACAGAGCGGCGAACACCGACTGCCCTGCTGAGGTGTGTACAAGGCTTGTGTCTGTTGACAGGCTACACCAGGTTGTACTCCTTCAGATTAAGTTGTAAGATGGTATCCTTGACGGCGGCAAACACAAACCTAATATTTTCTGTGTCTGTTGCACAAGTGAAATGGGAATAGATGATCTTGTCACTGTCTGGGTTCAATTCCACAAACATCTTCAGTATGAACTCCCTTGCAGCACTAGCATCTTGCTGTGGACCTGCAATTGTAATTCAAATTGAAATAATTTAATTGTCTATAATAATTATTAAATGTTTGGCAGTTAACATGAAGCACAAAAAGGTCAATTGACATATTATTATTAATTATTACTATGTATGACTCGTCCTAATAACAAAGAAGAAAACTATATTTAAATAATAAACATTTAAACTGTTGAATAAGTTAAAAAAATTACAAAGAAAGGAGGAAAATACAGTGGTATACTGCAAGGCAAGTTATTACCACACCACTATACAAATTCAAAAATTAATTATGTCGAACTCGATTGAACTAAAGTCCAACAAGCCATGAAAAAAATTTGGTCAAATTAGTTTTATAGTTTGGGACCTGAAAATGCAAATAGTAGGAATGGAGACAAATAGCTGGCCTGCGGTCATAATGCTAGCTAGACCTATGGGCCACAAAGAGAGTCAGCTTGTCACACAATCATTTTGATAATCAAACATATATTCACTTAATTAGGAAAATATTGCTTAAAATTCACAAGCGACATTTTTTTAAAATAATAGGCTAGGCCCGACTAGAGAATGGTGTATATTGTAAAATTGAGTTCAATTATTGTGTACAGAACTTTGTGTGGGCATAAACTATTTTCATTATTGTTTATAGAAGGCACCTTGAATCAATCTTTGTTCCAAACCATTGAAATTCCAAACCATTAGTTACAGAGTAGCTTCATACATGACTGATCAATTTGCATGAAAATTACTCAGAAAAGGTGGGTTTATACTTGAAGGTATGCTATGTAGAGGACCTATTATCTCATTTGTTTTGTTAATCATTATTTATACATTGTCAATAATGTAAATACATTTCTTTTTAAAAATACTTGGGCTTACCATCAAACTCTGGAAAGTAATCTACCAAATGAGAGTACATAATTTTCTCCTCTAAAAGATCCTTCTTGTTCAAGAACAAAATCACTGAGGAATTCTGAAACCAGGGATAGGTGATGATTGTCCTGAATAACGCCTTACTTTCCTCCATTCGATTCTGAAACAAACAAAATTAACAAGAAACTTTTATTAGTCCAAACACGAAATTGGATATTTATCTTTACAAAAAATAGGGTAAAAAAGAAAGCATTTATATCAATACATCGACATACAGCTTCACTTTGAGAAATAAATATTGATTCGTTGTCGACAGTCTTTTAACACAATAGAAACTAGGAACTAGGAAGGATAGCCCGACTAGAAGTAGACCTAGGAGCTTTAATGGTTTTAGGCCTCCATTTAGATGGATCCTATGGCTATGGGGGTTTTTATGTTAAATTACCTAGGCCCACCATAAAAATAAATTACCTGGGCTTACTGTTACATTAACTAAGGACAACCTAATATTAAATTTACTAGACTTGCACTGATTCAAAAAGCACTTAGGTCCAACATGATGTTACAGTATATCTGAGCTGTGGTACAAAAAATGAGTTATTGATATATTTCTATACATGACTATATAAGCTTTATTTTGGTCTTTGAATCATGTTACTAGGTTGAGTAAAACCGGCGTAAGATCAGATGCCTAAAAACATACTTAAGAGAAAACCGCCACTGAAGATAAACAGCTAATTAATTTTCTGTTGGTTTTCCTATCAACACAAAAATGTTTACCTTATGCAAAAGCAATAGAAACAGAATTATTTATACATGAATCTGCTAATTGTTAATGACGTTTTCTTTTCTCATTCTAATTTTCAAAATATAGCTAAGTAATAACTCTAAATATTTAACAGATAAAGAATAATCAATTCAAATATTGATTTTAATTTTTCAGGTTTTTTAAAGTCTTAATCATCTGTAAGTTGAAGTGAATTTAGGTTACATCGGCTAACAACAATCAGTGCTATGCACAAATATGCCCAGTGCCTGTATTTTATTTTTTATCAAAATACAATTCTGATATTTGTAATCTATTAGCTCTATCATTTAGTTACAATCTTTGCTTTAATAAATAACTACAGTATTAATTTTTGTTTTCAATTAGTCAATCAATCAATCAACATGGATTTGTTTAGCACCAATAACCGTGGCAGAATAAAATGTTCAATGCTGCTTTGACAATGGTCTTATAAGTTTGATTGAGATGTCATTGTTTTATGTGCAATTTTCTTAAAAAATAGACCAATTATTAAGTAGTACACATTTTACGATAGATTACCACTAGACACATACATAATATAAATCCTCACATCAAACAAGTCTTTCAATAGTCTCACTGAGTTGGATTCAGTCAATGATAAACAGCATCACTATGTTTAAAACGACTTACCTGTGCGGCTACCTTTAGCACTAAGAAATTAATACACGAAAAAAATGATATACAGGCATATCACACAACACCAACAGTGGCAGATTCAGAATTGTTTTGCCAGAGAGGCACGTGTGGCCATTGAGAACCCATGAGGCGAAGGGATTAGCAAGTGATTTTTCGGCTGCTGCCATTGGGGTGGGAGGTGACACCCTCTGCATGTGACATTAAATCACCAGAAATCATCAGGTCGAAGCAACCAGATGTTTAGTTAAATTTTTGTTTAATTATCCTTACTATTATTATAAAATATTTGTTTGGCTTTCTACAAGAACACAGTGGCTTTAGATTTTAGAACAAATGCAACAAAAAAAATATCCCTAAATATAAATAGTCCAAATAGTCCAAAGCTGAACAATGGGCAGAAATATTTACATGAACAATTTACTATTGGCTAACCATGTAAAAATATTGTTTTTATTTTATTATTCTTTAAGTACATCAACAAAAGGGTTAAGCAAATATGGAATACATCACAAACGCATTCATTGACACAAATACACACATCATCAAAATTTGTCATCATATTCATTATGTTCTTGTCCTTTTTATTTTCAGCTGTCAACTTACCTCATTAGCATATTCACTGAGAGCAGGTGTACTTTGAAGCTATTCAATACTATATTAATGATTTGATGTTTCCTATATATTTTAAATACCCTGGATCCTAGATATGTCCTATAGTTGATAAACCAAAAATGCTTTGCAATCATCAGTATAGAGACACTACTGTAAAACCGATTACTATGGTCCTTATTTTTCCCAATTGTTTGGATGAAAGCAGAGCCAGCTAATTTACAGTAGCATCCTACGTGATTCTCACTTTCACGTTTTATATTAATCAAGGTTATTATATTAAATCAAACTGTACCTTTAGGCCTGTAAATAGAGCTAACAATTTTGAATTCAAACCCTAAAATCTTGTTCATACACACTGTTAAAATAGGTTAGATAATGTTTATATTTGTGTAAATTGTATTCACAATTTGTGACAAATGTCTAAGATCACCATTCAGTGAAGCAAGTTGTATGTTTAAAAAAAAAAAAAAACCAAAATAGATATGCAATTGTGCTAGCATTAACATACCTCACTAACATAAAAATATAAAAACTGTAATAAAATGTAATCAAAATTAATGTATATTCCGATGCATATAAGCCGCACCCATGTATAAGCTGCACCCCTAATTGGGATGCGAATTACTGTATTAGTTTTCTTTTTAGTATTACTTATGTATATATGCTGCACTTATTTTTAAGCTCCAAACTGTTCCTAAAATGTGAAGTTTTTAATTATTTTTAAACACATTGTTTACAAATATTATAATATATAGAAATTTCAACTTCATCGGACGATTATTAAACAAAACTTGGCTAATTAATTGTTTCAGTTTCAGTTTATTTTCCAAAATCGTAAATAATTTTGCAAGCCAGGGCCTAACGTGACAACTTTTGCCATGGTTTTTTTGCGATCTGGAATTTTTTAGGAGTAGGTTAATGGCCGGTGTATAGACCTCACTAGGAATTTTGGGGTCAAAATTGTGTATAAGATTTGTGGCTTATACGCCGGAATATACAGTATCTTGTTTATTTGATTTTACTGTTTCTCCCATGTTTGATTCAATTGAATTACATCATCAAAGTCCTACTGACTGTACATGCACTGTCTAGACTGAGTACAAAAAGCCACAGTATAGTATACATTACCATCTCCCAATTACGGACCTTCCATTTACAAACTCTTGATTTTAAGAACCCAACTTGCGGCGATGATGTCATTATGAACGAGCGTTTTTAACTACAAAAACACTTTTTCTATTCGCATGGGATTCGCGATCTTTGTAAAAATAACAACAACACTTGTTTTGGCTATTATTTGGTCATGTTTTCATTCAGAAATCACTTCAAATGAATGCTTCACAGTGTGCACAGTTAATTTTGGCTGTAAAGTATTATTTTTGTTGCAGAAAACAGTAAAATTCAAGTCATATTTCGTGACAAAATTTTGCTCCCATGGCAAAAGGCTTAGCCTACTTGCTTTGCCCTGTACTTTGTAGCATAAGCCTACTCTCGCCACACTGACATGCTAAAAACTCTCTGAATTACAAATTTCCTCATTTACGAACTCTGTTCAGACAAGGGGTACGTAATTGAGAAATGTTACTGTAGGTCAATCATCAACAAATAAACATATCTTAACAACATGGGATCAAAATAGGATAGAAAAATTTTATTTAACCCAATAAGCATAATGATTATGATGAGACTATCATCATGTAACTATATCAACTTACCAATTCGTACTATAGCTATCATGTGACCACTACTAATACAGCTGTCATCTGAAATGTTTAGGGCCTGCTACCATAGCAACTACAGCTTTTAAATTCCTTACTACTACTTATTTTTGCAAGATTTAAAAATCATTTTGAATAAAGTAACTACTTTACCATACATGGCCATTCCTTTTACAAAAATAAATACAGGAATTTTGGAGAAAGGACCAATACTGCATTGGAATCAATCTGTATGTTGCAAGAAAATAGTAGTAATAGCTTTGCAAGATTAACTTGAGTGAAAAAAAATAATGTAATTTAATTAAATATAATATAATAAAAAAATAATATTGTCACAAACCTCATTGTCTGATTCAACCAATACTTGATCATATTCACTTAAGGCGACAAGGAACATGATGGACGTGACATTCTCAAAACAATGAATCCATTTACGACGCTCTGACCTCTGACCACCTACATCTACCATCCTATAAAAAAGTTGCAAAGTTAGATGGTGAAAAAAATTTAGTTTTGTATACCAAAGTAGATTTATGAAAGTTGGTTAATCAATGCCACATTGATTTTCTCCACTATTTTTTTATGCATAATCATAGATATTTCATTTTATTCAAATTCAGCTCATAACATAGAATAAACAACAGTAAGCTAGATGAAGTTAAAAAAAAAATAATGAAAACATAATACAGTCAACTCTCCCAATACCGATCACACAGAAAACTGGATTTCACACAAAAAATCCGACATTTTTTTGAAGTCCCAAAATCATTCCTATTCTTACTGTATTAAAATCCATTCTGAAATCCGGATCTCCCAATTCTGAATTCCGCCCGAATTCCAAGTCAGGAACAATAAAATTACCTTCTGAAAACCCAGACGCCCAGTTTAAAACATGGATTTATTGACGAAATGCCTCTAATAAATCATCACAGACACATCAACTGATGCATTTTGATCTTATTTTATCGTTCTGGCAGTAGGCATTTTTTTCTTTCAAATACTGTTAATAATATCAATGAAAAATCAATAAATAAATGTATAAATTATTATTATTATTCCTACATAAAGAACACATTGCTTTTAACGTAATTTGAAGCAGGGACTTTCAAAGCGATCCAATACTATGGAACTATAGAAATCACTACCTTGCCAAATTAAGGCTAGTCATGCTGCACCGCATTTCTTTCGTTTTTTACTCACTGTCGCCCACAGCTTTTCAACATTTGCCACAAGGTTAACCTTTAACACTCTATACTGTGTTCTGATTGGCGCACATGCTGACCGCTGCTGGATTGACAAGATGAACTGGCAATTTGCCAAGTTTAATTTTCCATTTGGTTTTCCATGTAACATTCGGTAATTTTACAACGGACGTTAGCTCTCCTTTATTTATCTTACAGGTACTATAAATCAAGACAACAAAATATTACTTGATGAAGGATCTTTTCCCATGTGTGTATTGTTATTAATGATATCATTTTTTGACAGTTAAAAGAGGTAAAATAATTGTAAATAAAAAATAGGATAGGCCCTAGGATAATTAATTAAAAATATAATACAGCAGTACAAACAAGTTCCTGTCGTCAACAGCGAGTGGAAGGGAAAACTCTGATCAAATCAAGTGTACGTTTTTCTTATCGCAAAAACAGCTCCATGCTTTAAATTGACAAATGACCCAGCAATACATTGTGTATTTTAGTAAGCTACAGCAGTCCTTCTGCAAATATAAATAAACACTTTTGCTTCGTAGGTTCGCTTCGTAGCCTTGCTTCGATTGTTTATATCAGGCTACGATGTAGCTACGAAGCCTACGCGCAGGGAAAAATTGCTATAGTTTCCACCTGTACTGTACGATACACATTTGTTGATTTGCATACATTTTATTCATAATACACTTCGACCAAAAAAAAAAAGATAACTTGCAATATAAATAATGTAAAAAAAACGTAAGTAACATGCATGTTAAACAACATTCTCAGGTCAGTATTATAGAGTACTGTGGTCTACCTGTCTGTACCTTGCCAAGCTAGGCTTAGGTATCGACAGGGAATAAAGGTGGGCAAACATGACATTCTCTAAACCAGACTGTCCGGAAAACCGGTCAAAGTGGACGGTCCTGAGGGTGGTCGGTATTGGGAGAGTTGACTGTTATCAGCTTAACATTGCAATAAAAGTAAATAAAAATACATAAATTACACACACATACATACATTTATAATATATGTATGTGTAATTTATGTATGTGTAATACATAAATTACACATACATATATTATAAAAGAATTTACAAACAAATAGTCAAAGAACACAATATAACAGAATTTGGAATATAATCAAAATAGAATATATCACACTCTGGTGTAAATCAATAATTTGATTTACACAATATCATATTCAATAAAAAAAGGAACAAGTATATTGACTTACTTCCTTGTAGAGACAATAAATAAGCATATTAAAAATTCAATAGCAGGCTTCCTATTCCGATCAGCGTAAAAGTATATTTTTTGTAATTATTTTATTTTTTTGGCAAAATTTTCATAAAACATCTATTATTAGAAGCTAAATTATATTTATTCAATCAATTAAAATCAAATTTACATATAATTTCTCCTTAAAATCAACAATTGTTAACATTTAATACTTTTATTACATATAATTTTAGGAGAAAAAGTTAAATTTACAAAATACATTTTCAATTAATAATATATTATGTAATATTGAATACTACTATAGGCAAGTCAATAAGATTTTAAAAGTGGAGAAACTATCACTGTACAATAAATACCATTTTCCCCCAAATCCCAGGACAGATACCCACCCCAATAATTAAATGTCCAAATAGTTGTATTGTAGGTAGACAAGTAATCCACCATCAATCCAAACTATAATGCATATTTAGGAAAGTAATTTTTTATTTAAATTCCACTTGCATCTACCAGCAAGTAACTCACCAATTACAGGATGGACGATGCTCTATAAACCAACTCTCTTTATGAGGCTTAGGGAGTGGAGTTGATTTTAGTCGTGAGAAAAAGTACTGCTGTCGTAGGAATTGAACCCAGGCCAATACAATTAGAAGCCAAGCACCTTAACCACCATACCACTCCACTTATTAAGGCGTATTACCTGAATATGATAGAGTCCAGGTCAAATGGGTACTCAATGATGCCTGTGGTAGGAACTCTTACTCGCAACACATCTTGTTCTGTGGGCACATAATCCGGCAGGGAAATTCGTTTTAAATCACTAAGATAGCTGGAATGAGAAACAGAACACAGAGAATGTGTTACCACGTCACTTGGCAAATATACATAAATGCAAATTATTTTTACTAATTAATAAACAATACATGCAAATAATAGTAAGTCAAAAAGCCTGGATTTAGAATACAGGGAATGGTCTTTGTGAGCAAGTTCATAGTTCACTTTTGTAATTGATAAATAACTAATGGTTAATACAAATAATAATAGCTAAAGAGTCTGGATTAACAATACAGGAAACACAGTAAGATTGCTGAAAAACAGAATATAGAGACATGTTAGCACATAACATGGTAAACAAATGGTTTAGTAATAAGTGGAAGAACCTAGATGTAAAGGTAGGCTACTGAGGATTTGTATTTTTTTTTCCTTTTTAAAATATTACTATAAGCCTACTATATTTGGTGGTGTATGAGAATTCAGTGGATACAATACTGGTTTTGCAATTTAAATTGTGTAAAATGTATTATTCCTAATATATGAATCATAAATACGTCTACACAAAAATATTTGTGTACATATTTTCATGACAGTTTCAAATACCGGTATATTATAGGTTTCACCAACTTGTAGATGCTGGTCTCCAGATTTCAGGGGTCTAGGTTTCCAATCATGTGAAACAAGGATTTAGCTTCACGACCTAAAATTCTCTATTTTTTTTACCACATACAGTAACAAGACACGGGTTTGTGTACATCATGCAATTAACAACTTACTATTAGATGTGAAAACAAAATCAGGATAACAAAAGCCATTATATGATAAATATCTAGCATCCTTTCAGCTCCACACCGAACAACCTAGGTAAGCTAGGGGTAGGTTTCATGATATGGCAACACTTGTAAGTATTACTGAAATATTTTATCAGGCAAAGATTTTTTCCCTCCTTGAAAACTGAACTAGGGCTTATGATACTAACATGGAGTCTGGTTCAGTATTAAAAACACTATCTGCAAAATTATAAACAAGGAAGTAATATGATTGATTTCTTTATTGCTTGTTTTTTACAATATTGACCAAAATTTGGCCAAATTCTAATCGGATAATAATGTTTTCACTTACAACAACATATCCATGTCACACTGACGGAATTCAGTATGCGCAATGTTCAGCAACTGCTTTCAAAACACTAACAAAACAGTTACTCTTTTTCAGGCAACTATAAATATATTTAAAATAATGTAAACAAATTTGGCCAAAATTCTGCAAAATATTTGCTTTTGTATGCTCCAACCGGGAAAATTTTTAAAACGCCAGATTTGAGTAATTTGGCTGTTTTCAATATCAAAGAAACACATAAATATGTGTTAGGAGAATATCTTAAATTTGTCTACAAAATTTTGGGATGAAGAAACTAAGGTAAGTTTTTTGTAGATGTGCTTCAGTCTGAATATTTATATTCTACTTGAAGAAGTTTTAAATTTGATTTTTAAACAATTAATTTAGAATACAGCATGTTTACTTTCAAAGATTAACAAAATCCATCCTTACTAAAAATTTATAGTTTTTAATAAGAAATTGGTGACAATATAGCGTATTATAGATGAAAACCTACATTTGCAAGAGGAACCAGCTGCAGTTTGAGAGATACTAACATATAACGTGTTAGCGCAGTCGATGCTTCTAAAATAAGAGGCAGAAAAATTAAAAATATCACGAGCGATTTCCCTTGCGTCATAAGAGTGCGTCAATTGAAGTAGAAATAGACAAGAGGAAAACAGCCTGCAAAGCAGAAACCAGCGGAATAAGGCTTGTTGGCAAACTAATCAATTGTCTTCTTACAATATGAATTTCAACAAGAAAGCAAATCAATACCACAAAGCTGACCTATAATGATGATTAATGATGCCTTTAATTTCTACCTACCTTATATTTTTAGCATAAAAAAATTAATAGATTAGGCAAAGGAACCCTCCAAATGGATAGTTGTATATATTTCAAAGGCTATATTAAATTTTATTTATAAAATGTGCATATGAAAAATCAATTAATTTCTACCACTGATTTAACCTTAATCAAGTATGTGAAATGGGATTTGCTAGATTGGCCTACATTTGCTTATTTGCAAACGTTTTAAAATTAACATACTTTTAATGATGGTAATAATAATATTCACATTAATTAAATGCAATAAATTAGTAAATTACACTTGCATCAAGTAATGAGTGCACTTGGTGCCTATGGCTAGTAGAAAGGAACTGACCTATGGTAGAAAAAAAATAGGGTAGCAGGTTTTTTTTAAATGCTGACAAATTTCCAAAGGACATAGGTTAGTGCACTAAAAAGGGATTGGAACTATTATCAATGATAAACAATGGTAAGGAAGTATAGGTATTTTTCTATAATCCTGACCAATGCTAAGGAAGAATGGTGTGGTGTATTAGTCCTGCTCTTTGCACTGTGCTTTGCAATGACTGACTTGCTAGTCCTTTGCAAGATGAACAAACACAAATGTCTCGTTTTTAATTTACTCTAAATTTACATGGAAAGTAAAGCAGTCAAGAAATTTAAAACACAAACTACTAATTACCAAAGACCATTCTGCCTAAAACAGACCTCAGTGTAGCCCAATCCGAAAAAGTATCACATCTACCGTAATAGAAGAAATGAGGCCAATAAAGTATGTATTTATTGCCAACAACTAATTATATTTTGCAATAAATAAACTGTCCAGTGGGGGCATGATGTAGCAAAGTGACCAAGTCGTGGCAAAATTGAAATTCAAATTCAATTTCCAGAATTTAGTTACTGGGAGTACATTACATCACCTCAGTCAAGATGATAAAGATGATAGAATAGGATTATTTTTTAGTGTGAACCGCACCAATAATAACCTACCAAGTCCAAAGAAATGTTTCCACAGAGGTCCTTTTAGTGAATTGTAAGACAATCAACTACTCTTTTCTAAAGTTAAACACATTGCATTCTTTAAAAAAAAAATAGACCATATTGCACATGGGACCAAATGGCTTAGATGTCTCATCCGATAAACGGTGCACTATCATAACTTGTATTTCAGCCTTCTAGCTGAAACACATATTTCAGCCTTCTAGCTGAAACACATATTTCAGCCTTCTAGCTGAAACACAAGGAGAACAGCTGGATGGAATTGAACTAGTAACTAAAGACCTAGAAGAATCTCCACAACTAAGCTCACACACACTGGCTACATGTTTAGCCAAATGAGCTAAGCTGCTCTCTCGCTAATCAAGCTAGGTTAACATTGACTGAACAACGTGTGTTTTAAAAGTGGGGTGGGTCACTGGAAATAGAATTTGCAGCCCAGTGTCTGTCCAAGGAAATATTTATAAATTTGTGTTTGAGTTGTTGGTGCTTTCAACAATACTTACTATTTAGCTGAATCTGATAGCTGATACTCTCGTCTTCTGTCATAGCATTCTTGTACTCCTGAATCATTCCATATACTAGCTATGTATTCAACAAAAGGTGGTTCAAAAGACCGTATTGTTTCTGGATCTGTTTGCCTAACATAATTTGATTTCTCCTGAAAGTAACAATGTATAAGACATACATATATTAACATTAATCTTACTGAGCATACTGTCAAAAATGCCAGTAAAATAAACATTTTCATGGACCCAGATATATTTCTCAGATTCAAAGAAATTACACAAATCAATGGTATGTTGGCAGTCTATGAGTGGATACTTACCTAGATAAACCGACAAATTGTCTATTCTTTCTAAAACAAGAGAACACCCTTGAGAAATAATAGAACAGTTGACTCCTAGTGCCAAGCACAAGGGGCCCCATCACCATGCAACTTCCTCATTTTTTTCAAGACACGAAAGTGACACCTCGTCTAAGGATTTCCAATCTTTTTGGATTTATATATTGACGATTTCGATTTTTGACGATTTAAGTTTTGGATTTACTGCATCCTGCTCTCTGTTTGCTACGTGGATTCATTTTGCTGTGCAGTTCACCCTGACCGGCAAATCAGAATGTCGGGATTGAATGATGGGCTCAATCTCAATTTGCGGTTGTCCAAGCCTGGCTGGCCAATCGTTTGTCGGGGGCTCCGGCTTCAGTAGATGCGGAAGTGTTGACCTCTGATGCTTTGCCGCTGCCGCGGTTCCGGCACCTGCTGTTTCGCAGCCTGCGTGAGCTTGTGCTTGGCGCCAGGAGTCGACTGACATTGTATTATTTTTCGAGGGGTGCTCTCTTGTGTGAGAAAGAATAGCCAATTTGTTGGTTTATCCAGGTAAGAAGTATAACTGACTGCTAAAAAAAATCTACTCCAGGATCAACCAAGATGTCAACACTGTGAGAAAGGTTGGCTGAATTTTTACTATTGTGCAGTGAGAATAAAAGGTCAGTATAAAATTCATTGCTTTTATAGCATTATCTCTGGAATACTGTGCCAACCATCTACTTTATTTATCTTTATAAATCTACTATCACCACTTTTTACATTTTATATTTGAAGGTGTTGTATAAACATTAGGGGGATGTTCGAGATTAGAGAAATTATGGACTTAAAAAACAAATACAATTATAATAAGTAAACCTACGCAAGTCCAAAGATATAATTTACCTCAATACTGTAAAAGTTCTTTATTTGTAAACTGAGTTATAGTATCTATGAACACAGCGAATTTTTTGTTAGAAGAATGGGAATTGTTAAATTTGATTAATAACTTAATTATAAAAAATATTGTTTATATTTAAGTGTCATATGTTTGTCAAAAAGGGCTACCAAGGCAAAAAATTTGAAAAGGATTTAAATTTAAACTACACATAACCTTGATCCAAAGGTATAATAATTATTCAGCTTTTGTGTATAACCATTCCAATAATTCAACAATAAAACAGACTTTGGCAAAGGTATGCAATATATTTTTTCTGTTATACCTAAAAGTTTTAAACCTATTGAACCATGTGATAAGATATGCGAAAAAGCAGCTACTATTCAATAATGCCACTCCATGGTTCATGGTATTTGTGGAACTGAAACAATTATTTAGGAGTGTTGTGTAGCTGAGGTGTAGAATGGTATCTGAAAGGAGTCCACAAAAAATTGTAATAGCCGCTACTGACAGCAAAATCTGTGCTAAACATAATATTAGCTTCCAAGGAGCTATATTCTCTGGAAGAAGTCCTTTTGTGGTATAGTAACAAAACTTCGGAGAAAAAAATCTGCCCAAAAAACAAAAATGAAATTTATAATTTTACAAAGACAACATACTTAGTTCATAGTGAGTGAGAAACTTTTATTTGGTAAACAGCATTAAAATATGCTATGCAATGGTAAGTGTGTCAAATTAATACTGAATCCCAACAAGAGGGCGTGCATTTCAATACCTGGAGTATGTATTACACTTTCTTATCTGAGATTAATCAGTGGATCGATCGTACGATTTAAAGCCGAATATAGTAGGCAAGTAGGTAAATTTACCTTCCTTCAAGTAACTTATTGAGTAATACTGTTCTAGTTCTACTTGGAAGAAATCACTTCTAGGTGATCTGGTTCAATGAGCTTTCTGAACACATAATTGTAATGGTAATGAAGTCAACAAAAAAACAAAACAACAAAACAAAAAACTTGTTGTATTGATCTATGCAACAGACCGTAACATTTCTTTAAAATAGGGTTGGGTTTACAATATTTTTTCCCAGCTCATATTACAAGTATTGCTTCTGAAATTAACACAACATTGTACCACAAACATTTACTTTTGAACAAAATCGGACTTTAGCCGTATGTACATTTGTTAAACCAGCAGGAGGCGTAATTTACGGAAAACTAAGCGTGTAATACGTGCACCATAAGCGTCTCTTCCAAAACGCTCCAAGTCTAGTCATAAATTTAAGCTCAAATCAAATCTTGAAGAAGTTTTAGAAAATAAATCCCCTTCAGGCACAAACAGGGCAGTGCTCTGCTAACTTAAGGCTGGTTTCTCAGTACAATCAATAAAAAAAAGGTATTTTGTAGGCTTAAATCAGCTCATCAGAGCAGTATTTTTATGATGACGGAGGCCAAGATAAATTTTTAATTTATGTATTGCCATAAAGTGCGTGCTTTCTTCAGCTTATGCTAGAAAAATTATTTGGCATACAATAATACTGTATACAGTTTAGGCAGGATGTAGGCAAAATTAATATAGTGTTATGTTATGCAAGTCCCTCATTTTCATTTATTTCATTTATTTATTCCGGTAAATATTTACAACAAATAATTATGAACAAGTAATACAGTACAAAAAAGAAGTCAAATTAATACCCGGGGGAAACCAGTAGTGAACTTAATCACTTTGAGGGCATCCCAGCATTGACAAAAATTAAATAAATAGCCCCCTTAAACAACACAAAAATGCTTCTTTTGTTGCCTGGCTACATCCATCACCCTTGGTGAAATGTGCACTTTATCTCATTACATTTATATAATCTTATCCGCAAAAATAATCGTTATCAGCATGGTAGGGTGTGATATGTTTCTTTGTTAATTTAGTTTATCTTTAATCATTTCATTTGTTATTTGAACATGCTAGGAATGTTGGTAGATAATGCAATAATATTGATTGAAATACTGATACCACACTACATCACTAACATGTAACTTTTCAATATTTATTTTGTTACATACTAGGAGCTGTCATATGCTACATCTTGCATATTGACTAACCTGTATTTTTTAAGTGAATTTTACCTTTGACAATTGCATTACACATAAGAAAAATTAAAATGTTTATTTTCAAAATATAATAAAAGTTTATTAAAAAAACCTCCCAGTTTTCAATAAATACATACTTTACTATGGAAACTGTTAAGGGTCTATGCAACTTAGACTAAAGAGGTGTAGTATTTTTAGTTGTCATTGAATTTTAGTTTCTTACATGACCTAAACAACAGTGAACATGAAGAAGTAAAGATTTTCCTTACCTCATTTGATTTGTCTACGTATGGAATCCTGAGCCTTTCCATTGCCCGGATGAGAGCATGTATGGCTGTGAAAATATTCTGATATACCAAGTGAATAAAATCTTTCCTATCGTCTTCATTGTATCCTTTGCCGTGGATTATTCTCATCTGTTTGATGAATGTGCTTTTACCACTTTCACCAGTACCTGAAATAATGTTCAAATGCATTTAACGATGCAAATAAATACAAATATAACATTGTACAGACATATCTGCGGCCCTTGTGTACAGAATGGGCAGTGGCTCGACAGTACATCCGAAACAAGCAGTGGTCGTAAATGGGAAATTGTTGTAATTTATAGTTTGAGGTCAACCTAAGGTCAGACTCCATGCGCGACTAAAAGACTGAACAAACTATGCTTCTATGGGCTGATTTAAGTCCAGAAAATTGTGCAAGTTTCATTGCTAGACAGCATTCTAAAATTATTAGAAAATACAATAGTAGATATTCTTTTTTATTGAAAATGAAAATATGTAGTTATTGGAAGAATCGAGCATACAATATAATATAGGAAAATTCACTAAATTTTGTATTTATTTCTTGGCCAAGATCTGAGTTTAAAATGACAATAATAATGTTTAATCTTATATTATAATATGCCCATTATATTACCTGTAGTACTAAGAGCACCATAAGAATTATGGCAAGATGCAAGGTAAGACTTTTATTATACCTTGTTCGTGAATCCGAGGCCGCCAACATTGATGATTTCGCATAAAAAGTAAAATTTTATTTTTGGCCAATTAGCGCACCCGCTGCCACAAAAACTGGAAATATAGGAGTTTTTCTTTATTTTATTATGCTACCTTGAAAACTCCAAAAGTAAGGTATGTACTGTGCATTTCTTTCTAATATTTAACCATTTTTTTACTACTCTATTTACATTCAACAATAACATTTTATTTTCATTTTATCCATTTTATTTTAATTTTATCCTTCGTCTGGATGTTTTTGGCAAAACTATTTGCTAAATAAAATAAGAAAACAAAATCTTATATTAATTTTTTTCCACCCTCTTCGGACGATCTTTAAAAAAATAATTTTGCTAAACAAGGTACAGAAAAAGTCTCACCCAAACAAGAGCAAAGCATGGTAATCAAGAATGATATAAGATGTATTCACTGCATAAGTAAATAGGTAAACATCATAATTATTATACTTATTATTATTATTATTTTTAGCCTATTATTATTATTATTATTACTACTATTATTATTATTGATTATTAGTATTATTATTATTACTATTACTATTATTTTTTATGAACTTAATTAGCTTTTCTTATGTAAAGTAATTTTTTTTATTAAATATATATTTACTATTGTAAAGGGGGTTAAACTTGACAAGAAAAATCTTTTATTTTAACCTCCTATTACCTTGTGAATTCTTTTTGTATATGTTTTTGGAATTTGGCAATAAAAGTGAAATGAATGAATGAATAATTATTGTGATGTACTGCACATAATCAGATAGTTAACAGGCTGTTTATTTATATTTTCATTTCTAAAGTTTAGTCACAAAATAGCTTGGTTAAGTATATTAAATTACTACCGTAGAAAAGGATATATCATTGCTGCATTTGGCACTGTCCAACAAAATGCTTTACAATGCGCAACATGGCAACATGTAGGCTAAACGTCAGCCACTAAATTTTAATTTAAAAAAACAAAATGAAAAAAGTTAACAAAATGTAGATTTCATATCGAAACAACTACAGAATAAATTTATTTACTAAAATACTTAGCAAGGATTATCAATTTTACTTAGCAAAAACTGCTATCCATTTTCTTCAAATGTGATAATAAAGCCGAGATAAATAATTTATTTCAGTTACTTTGGACCAAGGAGATGACATCAAAGAATAACTGATTAAATAGGGTTTCAACTGTAATACACTATTGGGTGTAGTAAAGGTTAATGTATATTCTCAATGTTTATCTGAAAATGCTAGTGATGCTATTCACAAGTGATATGGGTTTGTCATAAGCTGGGAAGGGGAATTATCAATACCATGGAACAAGCTGCATTGATCACATCATAGCCTCTCATTTTCTAAATTTAGCTGCAGAATCAAGACACTAGGCCTACAGTAATTACCGGTATGGCAAATCGACAGTTTCCAATGTCATAAAAACAAACGCCCCATCCTCTCTGGCTTGTACTATATCTGGCTATACTGGAAAGTGCCTCGTTTGGGCTTGCTGATTGACCTGATTCCAATACTTTGACAAGTTAATCAACTCAATTTAGCTATTGTGCTTCTAATGTTGTATAAATTGTTCTGTTTAAAATCAACAATTTTCATTAATTTTAGATACTATGTATGCCTACTTCAATAAAAATTATTCGAAGTTCAAAATGTTGCGCTATCAAGTCTGGGGTTGTATTTGCATTGTATTTGACACTCTTGGCACTAACCAATGTCATGATGATGGTCATTTGTCATTTAATGTTCAATAATGGGGAATGGACATTCAACACCATACTGTAAAGTTGAATCACACATTGAGTATCTATAATAACCCAGATGATATAACCTAAGAATGGGTTAACAGTTTAATACATGTTTACATGCCTATTATGTGCTAGCTGTAGGCTTTCATTCACCCCACACAGCAACACCTTCTCATCACTTGCGAAAAGTTCACATGATAGATATTTAATTTGCTATTACTTCGCCATGCAAACCTTCAAACAATACTATGATAGATATTTGCTGCAGCCAGCACTAACACTTACAAAACTTCTTCCTCCGCTGCACAACAGACTTAGGCCTAACCTTAAGCCAACTGGGAAAACTAACCCTGGAATGGCTAAACTGGCTCTGAACTGACTGCAGAGCAAGCACCTTTTCACTGCCATGCAAGTGGGATGGTGCCCCACATCATGAAACAGAAGCAATGGCACAACCTGCTAACTGTGCAGGGTTCGAAATAACGCTGGTCCGCCGGCCAATGGCTAGTAAAATGCATGGCGGACCTGTTAATTATCCCAATAACAAGTCCGTGTGACCAGTTAAAATGTCAATGAAAGAATGACGAAATACCTAAAGCTTTAATCATTCACCTCTTAACGATGTCTTTACAAAATATTTCACACAGATAATGTCAACAAGATCGCTATTTTCTGTTTATTGTCATGTTAATGTCCGCTACTAACAGCCTCGGTCTCAGTCATTCAAGGCGAACCGATGAACATCACGCACTAGCCTAGACCATTAGAGGAATCCATGGCTAGACGTACAGAGGGAAATCACCTTCTCCGCATGTTATAGCGACAAGGAGAAGTTGATTTCAGTCTGTGTGAACACCGTGAAGTTAAAACTTCCATGTCATGTATCCATCCCACAATGCAACGTGGGACAAAAAGTTAATAAACAATGCAACGATTTCCAGACGAAATAACGCAATAATCATGCCCTGTAAATGAACCGTTCGTACAGTCCCAATAGCATTGCCATGGAGATTATCTATTAATTAAAACGACACTCCAGTAAAATTTTAGATAAAGCAGGGAGTTGGATAAAGTCAAAGTTACGTCTTCCATTGTTTTAATAAAGTGCATTATCGGCTATGAATACTTAAAAATCGACTAATCAACCTGAAATGAAAAAGGAACTCAAAGCAATTGTTTTTACGACGGCTCTTTTTCAGTAGACGTTTAATTCGGATTTGGTATGTCATTAGATTCATATATCAGTACATGTAAATTACACTCACATTCCCCAAAAACATTGCTAATTTTACACTCACATTCCCCAAAAACATTGCTAATTACGGAGGGAATTTGCAGAGAATGAAATTTTAATTTGTTAAATTTATTTTTAGATTTTACTCTAAAACAAAACCATGAGGGTTTCTTATTCATTTTAATAAATTTGTTTAATTAAAAATTTATTGGTTTACGCTAAGCTTGTTCCTGTCAGCAAGCTGTCACGCACTTTGAAACTTTGGGCGATCTGACGTCACCACAGCCAAGCACATGGGATTTTTGCCCAGCAACATGACCCCATGAAAAAAATTAGCGGGAAGAGTTTAGGAGGCGCGACCTGATATTTACAACAAGTCGCATCGTCGTGACCACAAAGAATGTGTTGTTTACAGTTTAGAAAAAAATGTCGACCGAAAATGCATGTAAAAACAATATAAAAGCATTCATTTTATTGGTACAGTAATACAATTTGCTGTGCACTACAGCTAAACAACAGGTACTGTACGTATTATATGTTAAATGTTAACTTTTTTCGTAGGCTAGTCATACCGAATTCACTGGGCCCCCTGGGCTATGCTAAGCCTATTTTTAGCGTCTAGGCCCTTAAACTCGCCTGCCTTATTCGGAAAGGATTCAATAGAAATGTTCCACAAACCGATCTTTCCGGAAAACCGAACATTGTAGCGAACATCGTATTGCGAGAGTGCACTGTACATACAAATAGATTCCTGTATTTATATTTCGCGGCATAATTTCCCATA